GCAAAACAACTCTTAGTGTGAATCTCAACAATGTTCGTAGCTTTTCGGACTAGAATTGTTCAAAAATTAATAATACTTAACAAGCATGCATGTTAACCAAAAAAATGATTCATGCAATGGAAAATGTACTGGACATACAATCATGCATAAAAAATCAAAACCAAAATTGCTCTCATGAGGTGAAACACTGGGGAATAACAATTCTACTAAACAGAAATAAAACATATAAGACTGTAAAGATATAGATTTCATACAGCATTAATGTAATCAAATCACTTAAAGCTGCACACTTACATCAGAGATGCTCTTGTGATTTTTTTTGAGAAATGCATGACAGACATGAGCAACAATCATCATCTTAATATGTAAGAGCTAACTATTCTTTAATTGGCCAATTACAATCTCATCATCAAAAGCAAATTTTGCACTCTGATACATACTACACTGCCTTGACTATCCCCCAGAGTTGGTATGTGGTCCTCGCTAGAGTCATTTGTTACTGAAGGCTGTTGACTAAAGGCATCTCCCTCAGCAGCGGGTGTGGCAGGTGTTGTAGCTGATGTGTCCTCAGAGACAAAGGAGGAGGTCATGGATGGAGGGGCTGAGGGCCCGGCAGAGGGGGGGTCTGAAGGTGTCCCTCCCTAGAACATTTAGAGGACAATGTGTTGTAAACTAATTTTACAAAAGGAAAAGCATTAATTTTTTCAGGTGTGTCCTTGAAACACCCAAATCTAAAATCCCATGTCATATTCTTTGGTGAAAAAATAATTCAAAAACTATGGAAATGTATTAAAAACATTAAGTACCAGAGAATCTGCATGCGCAGGCAAGTGTGCTTGAGACCCAGCAAGGCCAGGGCCTGAACCTACAGGAGTGCCACTGCCAGATCCTGCCGACTCTGCCACTTTCGTGATGGCAAACCGACCGGTGCGACGAACTGGGGAGCTGACTGGGGTGCTGCATGTCGACGTGTCAGAAGCTGGAAGGAAAGTTCCAAGTCAGTGGCCTTATTAAGTGAAAGCCTTTATAATAATAAATAAAAGTTATACTGAAAAACATCAATTGTCAGTGACACCAGATATTCAGAATCAGCAGTTCAACTCACCCCTTCTTACAGCATCCTCGACCACCTTTGTGACTTGAAACCGTGCAATTCTGGTCTGTCTACTGTCACCAGGGTCTGACTTGGAGTCTCCCTCTGAGTCTTTGAGTGAGGGTGTCCTGGAAAGGCTCACGTGGCCCTGGAGGGGGACGGGAGATGCCACAGCTGATCTCCAGGCATAGGTTTCCCCACCTGGCCCTAAAGTGGCCTGAGCTGGGGTTGGAGTGCCATCTAGGAGTGGTACCACTGCTGGGTACACATGTGGCTGTGGTACACCAGACTCCATCATGACTGGTGTCATTAAGGCGACCGTTTCACCCGATGGTAATCTCACTGTCTGTGGAAGCATCATACTGGGAGCCACAGACACCCCTGCTGGCGTTTCAAGGCCCTGTGCTTGCGTCCCTGACATGCCATCAGCTCTTGAAGAGTCCATAACAGTTAGAGGAATTGCTACTGAAGGTTGAGATTGGGACTGCGTATACTCTTGTCTCATGCCTTCCATTCCAGAGGATCCACTACTAACAGTTTCCTGAAAAAAAAGAAGAAAAAAAAAAAAAAAAACATGCAAAAAGGTTGGTAAGCTTCATAAAACACTAAATCAACTGGATTATATGTACAAAACAGTGTACCAATTAATAATTCAAAACAAAGAAGCAAAAGGAAAGAAGAAAGAGATATGTATAAACACTGGTTATTACCTGTGGCTCATGAGTGAGGGTAACATGTGCACCTGGAACAAGCTTTTGCAGTTGTTCTCTTAGTGCATTCAAATCCATCTTGCTGCGCTGCTCTGGGTTTGGAACAGCCACTAATCTCACTTCTGTGGGCAATCCAAGAGCCGCTCCAGACATACCTACCCCTGTTAGGAAAAGGTAATATCAAAACGTGTACAGTCAGAATGAAAATAGAAAGAGAAAGATGCAAAGAAGCATCCTACTATTATCTAAATTTCTTGAAATAAATGGTTTGCTTAATAAACCATAGCAAAACATATGACAAAGTTACCATATGCTCACAAAGTGTAATGAACCATTTGTACTGAAGGAAGTTCCTATTCACAGACCTCCACACTTATTTATAATTTCACCTCCCCTTTCCCATCTTTTATGGGGAATATAAAGCCATGAAAATTAAAATGGATGAAAAAAAAAAAAAAGGCAAATTGGAATCTTTGACTTACCAGGAGGTATTGCAGAAGCCATGGCAGATGAATCCTCAGGTGCAAGTCCCACCTGTGTTGGCATACACATGGGTGCAGAAACACCCACAGGAAGTCCAGATGCTGGACACACTGTAACATGACCTGATTCTCCTACTTGAAGACCCATTCCTGGCAACACCCCAACAGCTGTAGCTGCAGAGGTCATATCTGGGGGCAGTGCTGCCATCTGCTGC